TGGTATCGGATTTCTCAGATTTCCATCAGCGGTACACCCTGTGATCGATTCCGGTTCTGAATGGTATCGAATTTCTCGGTTTTCCATCAGCGGAACACCCTGTGATCGGTTCCGGTTCCGGACTCAAATTTGTCACCTGCGACATCTTGCGGCTTTTATCTGTGTTCTGAACTTGGATTACGATCAGCGACATCTTTTGGCGGAGCAGCAGCAAACCATATAGCGGTTCTGGACCGGAGCAACAGCAAACCTTATGGCGGTTCTGGACCGTCATATTTATACTACTCGCGTTGTTGCTGGATAAATAAGTATACTTCGCAAAGAGTGTTTTTTGTCTTTTTCGCCAATATTTTTCAGTTGTCAAAATTCTAAAAGTTGTTTTAAAAACAACACTTCTCCGATTCCCATTAGACTATAGTCTACAGATATAGGCTCAGTTAAAAAAAACATAATCATGTTTAAAGTACATCCATCCTTAGTATTCATGTTTTAAATACAATTTATAAAAAAACTACAAATGAATGATGTAACTTTATTTAGGTACAATCTGTCTCATTTAGGTACATTTATTTTATGATATTGGGTACAATCTGAAATTTCCATTTTTCATCCCTGGTACCAACTGAAAGTAGACTGAAATAGCTTTAAAACTGAAATATTTAATCGAGGAAAGCCAGCTGAAAGCCAGCTATTGAAAAAAAATTTAATAAAAGATGTTTTTTAATTACCATAGAACAAACCTTGGGTCAGGTATATGCATTTCTTTTGTATTAAATTATATAAAAAAAAATATATAAATAGAAGTGGCAGCCTTCGATCGTTATTTCTATGTAAAAGCTATTTAAGTCCTCTTTCATTTGGTACCGAATTTGTTTAATTGGGATAAGCGGTTTGTTTACTGTACGAAAAGACTTTTATTTCGAACTTAAAAAATATCTGGCCAAGTTTAATTGCTGGAAAAAATAACTGCTATCTACGGTCCCTGGTTTATCGTATGGATGCCTACTTTACTCAAACAAAGTGTAAATTATGTGCATATTCTCATTGGTCTTGTCTTGTGTAAACGCGGGGTTATACAACTGTCAGCAGTGACGGACTTACGTGTGTCTAAAGTTGAGTGTTGGACAACGTTCGTTGGGTCCGTCGACGGTAGGGTTGCCAATCTGACGCTCTCTACGCAAACACACACAGCCTACTCAACTGTCAGTTTCATCCTTGAGCGGAACGTAGGCAAAGTATTCCTTCTGATAGGCCCGTCGGAATGGGTACTTGCACGTCAATAAAGGAAAAGTATACGAAGGAAGTGGCGTACGTGCTAGAGATACGCCACAATGAAGGTATTGCGTCTGTAAACAAAAATCAGCTGTTCCTTATGGCCGCGTACTTGGGGTTTACACAAGTCCATTTTTCAGATACAACAGCAAAACATTCACACTATGTTTACTAATTTATTCGCACTTCCCTTGATGTATTCGTCACTGCATCTGGCTTTTAGAAGATACACTGAGAAAAGACTCAGCTAAATATATTTCTCTCGACAAAGGCTTTTGTAACTATAACCAAATAATGTAACTATTACCAAATCATGTGTTGAGGAAAATACTATTTAGTTGATGCAACTAAACCCTTTTCTCAGTCTAGTTTATTGTCTGGATGCCTACTGTCGATTTACAACACTAGCCCAGCCTAATAGTCACCAAAGTTTACGGCAACCCTGTCATCATGTTTTTACTTCTTTGTATTCTTGTATTCTTTGTACCATGTTGTCGTTATGTACATTTTCCACTTTATACGTTCAAATATCCCGCAATTTCTCATACTCATCGCATTTCTAATCTAAGTGCGCGGTTACCCACAAACGTATACGTAGCGTAGCGTAGAAGTACGTAGAACGATATCAATTATGCTGTTGATAGAAAGAGAGAGAAGCAACGTCTACGTCACGGTCATGCGGTGGTGAGTTTTTGTTAACACGCAGATCCCATAAGATAGATCGTGTCAGCTGACACGTTCTCCGTTTTTACGTCCGTGGGTAACCGCGCTTTAAAAGCCGAAGAAGACGCTCGAACAAGAACACCAATTTTGAAACACAAACAAACGTACCAACAAACGCCAACAAGCAAGCAAGCAGCAATTTTGTCATCGTCTTATATTTAAACCGAACAAATATACACCATACGTTTTTATAAGATTGGAAATCGTAATAAATACTAAATTTCATATTTTAAACACAGTGTAAATTTATTTAGTCGTCGTCAACAAAGTTTTCAAAATTGTTCTTGGTTCGAGCGTCAACTAGTCACAGTGTGTGTGTGTGTCGCTGTTTCTGTGGGGACTTGCCGTATACTAATTGCTGGAAGTTTGCCGTTTTTTGTAGCCGCTACACCTTTTTTTGGAGCTATACGAGTTACATTCGCCGTTAAAATAGATCATCGGGGAAAACTGTACATATGTCGGACGATTATCTACCGTTTTTCGCAAATGTTATTTCACCAAGGGTAAAATTCCTCAAAGTCACCGCAAGGACATTAGATACGTGGGTGAAATCGTCGAGCTGAGTTGTGCTTGCGTATATGCATGCTCATAGTTTCCTTTTGCAAACATAAGCCGCGAAAGCGAGTATATTTTCGCGAACATTGTTCACCATCTGCCAATTTTATAAATGTCGCCGTAAGGACATTACGTACTTTTGTGAGTTCAACGAGCCGAGTTGGGCGTGCGTATATGACCACCCATAGTGTTGTTTTTTACTTTTGCCAAAAACATAAGCCGTCAAAGTGAGCATATTTGCGCAAACGTTTTTCCCATTTGCACCGGCTGCTATGCCGTAAGGATATTCTCATACTTTGGCGGGGTCATCGAGCCAGGTTCCAGTTTTTTTGCGAAACATACACGTCACGGGGTCGAGTTTTGCACGTGTACATGCATACTCATACAAATTAGCATCGAACTCAAAGAATTTGCCAATCTTAGCCAGTTTCTTGGCGAAACACTTAAGCCTTCAAAGCGAGTACACTCGCTTAAATTCGCCGTTGTCATCGTCTACTGATTTAAGAAATTTCTACACTAAAGCGAGTCGCTATAAGGTGGGTAACTACAAATTAATTAAACTCTTATAGTGTAATGATTACTCGTGGTCAAGCAAATAAAGCCACACTATCGAGCGACGCGGATGGTAGTAGTTCCGACTCAGAAGCAAGTGTCACGGCAGTTAACATCGAAGCCCAGAACATTACAATGCAACCAGAAGCAACCATCGGGAACGACGCAATAGCCTCTTTGGTGGCAAATATCACGTCACTCCAGGAAAGCGTGCAAGAGTTGCGAAACGAAACGAGCCGTGGCCAATCAGAGGTCTAACAGCTCCGCCAGCGTATTGAAATGGACTCTGCTAATGACGCCAATCACGGTCCATCGTCGGACGTACCGATTCCAGACACGTTTACCACATACGTTACCACAGTTGCCTGCGCCTGGATCACAACCGTCTTCGTCACAGCCATCAAACGCGCTGTCGTTTCTGGAAGGATCCGCCGCTAAGCTGTATCCGCTGCCTGCCTTCGATGGCAATCCAGAGGATTGGCCTCTATTTTACGCCAACTATATCGACACAACAGCTGAGTTTTGGTATAACCACAGGCAAAATCATATGCGCCTGCAGAAAGCCTTGCAGGGTAATACTAAGCGAGCAGTCACGTCTATGCTCATCTATCCAGATGATGTTCCTAAAGTCATGAAGGAACTGGAATTTAATTTTGGACGACAAGACTTGTTAATACGAGCACAATTGCAGAAAGTCCAGCACTTTCCTAGCATCCATGATAACCGTTTGGACCAAGTCTTGGAGTTCTCAAATCGTGTTCGTAACATAGCAGCGTTCTTTAAGTCAGCCAAATACGAGCACCATTTGTTGAATCCTACTCTACTGGAACAATTAGTCTCGAAACTGCCACCGTCCAAACAGTTTGAGTGGAGCAAGTATACCGCCAACATATTGCCGTTTCCAACAGTGGAGAGCTTCGCAGACTGGCTGAGTGATTTGGCCAAAGTCGTATCGATCATGCCCAGAGTTGCAGATATTTCGCTACGTCATAGCCAACCGCCATCGTCGACGAAACACAGCACAAACTACAGTTGTCAGTTAACATCAGGCGCAGGTTCAGCACGGCGAATGTTGCACAGCAGTGAAGAGCAACCCGTATGTTTTTGCTGCAGTCAGTCGCACCTCGTAACTAATTGTCGCAAGTTTTAATCGCTTGACTGTGCTGCAAAATGGTCACTTGTCAAACAACATCGTCTGCCTACAAAAGAGTTTGTCTACATGTCGCCGTCGTAAAACGTGTGATATCAATGGCTGTAGGCCAATGCATCATAAATCACTGCATCAAGAACTTCGTACAAACGTTGTGCCCCCCACCGATGGAAAACGCATCCTGAACTGCCACCAAGCCAAAGAAGCTAGCATATTTAAAATACTACCTGTAATTTTTTCGGTCCGCATGGTAGTATGTCAGTGTACGCCATGATCGATGAAGGTTCATCAGTGTCACTTCTTGAGGAAGAGGTTGCCGTACAATTAGGGTGCCATGCCACTTACTTTACAGAGGTACGGTGACAACCAAACTACTGTGAGCTCGAGAAAAGTCTCATGCGAAATTCAAGGGGTAGGCAGTGGCCATAGTTTCCCACTCAAAAATCTGCGTACAATAAAGGGTCTAAGTTTGCCGAGACAATCACTTAACAAATAGAACTATGCGCATTTAAACGAATTGCCAGTGCGTAGTTATGACGATGTAGTACCCGTGATACTACTTGGATTAGACAACTGCCATTTGTGTGCCCAGTAAGAGGTTGGTTGCGATCAAACAGTAGCTACTTATACAAACTTGGGATGGGTAGTATTTGGACCACATCGGCAGGACGCCCGCACCAATCCTAAAGTCTCTCATGTACGTAAGTCAGACTTATTGCTGCATCTTAACAAGTTAGTTGAGGATTATTTTTCCCATGCAGCTATGCACCTGCGAAGCAACGTTTAGTAAACATTGAGACGCGCATGAAGAAAGATACAGCTTACGCCAACAGCTATAAGAACGAGATCGCGAAATTCCTCAACAAGGGATACGCCCGACAATTAACACCCGAAGAGGCCGCCCGGATTAAACCGACGACATGGTACCTCCCGCACTTCGGTGTCGTTAACTCGCACAAGCCGGGAAAGATCCGCATCGTTTTTGACGCAGCCGCCGTTACAAATTCCACATCCCTCAACTCGGTCTTGCTGAAAGGGCCGGAACAAGCACAACCACTTGTAGCCGTTACACATAAATTTCGCCAGGGAATTACCGCAGTAGCTGAAAACACACAGGAAATGTTCTCGCCGATCAAGACTCACAAAGATTTCTCTGGAGATATGGTAACTCCGAGGAACCCTTACGTACGTACATCATGTCGTCAATGATATTTGGAGCCATTTGCTCGCCTTATTGTGCCGAGCACTTAAAAAATATAAACGCCGTCAACTTCAAGTCCACGATGCCGAGGGTAGTACGTGCCGTAATTAACGGTGAAGAATTTTTCGGTGCCTCGTTGTTATTCGCCAATCCTGCCTGTCGCATATGAGATACAGCTGCATATCTGCGTTGACGCTAGCTCTTGCGCTTATGCTGCTGTCGCGTATCTCCGCGTAAGGAAAGGAAATAAAGTGACGTATGAGATGCTTCAGAAATTTTGGTTCCGCCGCGCTCTAGGCTTGCTCAAATCAGTCAAAAGAGAATGCCAAGTGTGCATATATAGCACCGCCAAGCCGTCCGTACCGCTTATGGGACAGTTACCAGAAGACCGCCTCACGCCGTATGTTCGCCTTTTTTCCTACGCTGGAGTCGACTACTTCGGCCCATTTTTTGTCGCAATTGGTCGAAGAAGAGAGAAGAGATGGGTCGCGTTATTCACGTGCCTTACAACGCGAGCGGTCCACCTGGAAGTTGCCCCGGAGCTATCAACTGACGCCTTTATATTGTGCTTGCGAAACTTCGACAACCCTCGAGGAGTTCCAATAAGAATCCGGAGCGATAACACCACGAACTTCGTGGGAGCACAGAAAATACTAAAAAACGAGACGCAAATATTCGACTTCAGCCGTATCGAAGGTGAAATGGCACGCCGTAACATTCAGCGGATTTTCAAGNAACGATACGCAAATATTCGACTTCAGCCGTTTCGAAGGTGAAATGACACGCCGTAACATTCAGTGGATTTTCAACTGCCCTGCAAATCCTTCAGCAGGAGGCTGTTGGGAGCGCCTCATACAGTGCGTCAAGCGATTGCTACAACGCGTGTTAAAAGAAGAAGCACCGCGGTTGGAGACATTTCAAAGCGTACTCATCGAGGCAGAAAATATACAAAATAGTCGTCCACTGACAGAACTAGCCATAACGTCCCAATATGAGGAGCCATTGACACCCAACCTCTTCCTGTTGGGGTGCCTCAACTCTACACAAACGCCTAGCTCAGTCGAGGAAAGAGTATGTCTTCGCAAGCAATGGCGCATAGCCCAAAATCTGAAGGATAGGCTGTGGAAGAGGTGGACTATCGAGTACCTGCCCCAACTCCTGCGACGCTCAAAATGGAGGGATGAGGCAGAGCCGCTAAAGCCGGGACAACTGGTGATTGTATGCGATCCTTCTCGACCACGAAGCCAATTGGAACGAGGAAGGGTGACCGAAGTTTTTGCCACTAAAGATGGACAGGTCAGGAGTGCCGAAGTTCTAACGGGTTCCGGCCTGCTACGTAAGCTAAGTAAGCTAACCGCTTTAACTGTAAGTGAATCCCCCAGAGGGGGAGTGGGATGTCGATTTACAACACTAGCCCAGCCTAATAGTCACCAAAGTTTACGGCAATCCTGTCATCATGTTTTTACTTCTTTGTATTCTTGTATTCTTTGTACCATGTTCTCGTTATGTACATTTTCCAATTTATACGTTCAAATATCCCGCAATTTCTCATACTCATCGCATTTCCAATCTAAAAGCCTAAGAAGACGCTCGAACAAGAACACCAATTTTGAAACACAAACAAACGAACCAACAAACGCCAACAAGCAAGCAAGCAGCAATTTTGTCATCGTCTCACATTTAAACCGAACAAATATACACCATACGTTTTTATAAGATTGGAAATCGCAATAAATACTAAACTCCATATTTTAAACACAGTGTAAATTTATTTAGTCGTCGCAACACCTGCTTTACTCAAACCATGTGACAATTAATGAATATTCTCATTTGTCTTGTCTTGTGTAAACGCAAGGTTATACAACTGTCAGCAGTGACGGACTTACGTGCGTCAAAAGTTAAGTATTAAGGTATCCACACTCCTACGCGATAGTTTTAAATGCGGAACCAAACACTTGTACGATTGTGCTGCAGCGATTTATTCGAACATTCACAGTTCTTCTTTTGGTCGTACCGAAATCGCAGACTGTCGCGTTTTGAGAACGAAAAAGGTCGAGACAAGGATTTTACAATATTAAAACAAAATTGAACGTAAGAAAACAAAACATATTTGATGTAGAAAAGTTAAGAATTTTATTTTTGTTGAAAAAAACTTTTTGTTTGTCTATATATTGATAGTTTTTGCTGCGATAAAATCGCACAGATGTGTGCATACTTGCGTTTTCAAAGCAGTAACGTCTGTAGCATCAAAAACTGTGCGGATTCGTTGCGACAGAATCGAATAGGTGTGGATGCCTTTTGTCCCGTCAGAATGGGTACTTGTACGTCCACAACGGAAAAGTATGCGAAGGAAGTGGCGTACGTACCGTGGAGATACGCCACAATGAAGGTGTTGCGTCTGCAAACAAAAATCAGCTGTTCCTTATGGCCGCGTACACGGGGTTTACACAAGTCAAGTTTTCAGATACAGTAGCAAAACATTCAAATTTTTTTACTAATATATTCCCATTTCTCTTGATGTCTTCATTACTGTCTCTGGCTTTACGAAAACAGTTTATTGTCTGGATGCCTACTTTACTCAAACAATGTGTACATTATGTGCATGTTCTCATTGGTCTTGTCTTGTGTCAACGCGGGGTTATACAACTGTCAGCAGTGATGGACTTACGTGCGTCAAAAGTTGAGTGTTGGCCAACGTTCGTTGGGTCCGTCGACACAAGGGTTGCAATCTGACGGTCTCGATGCAAACACACACAGCCTACTCAACTGTCAGTTTCATCCTTGAGCAGAACGTACGCAAAGTACCCATTCTGACGGGGCCAAAAGTTATAAATGTCACGCAAAGCTACAAAGTTTTACCCGGCATCAGTTTATGGGCGCTCACACACATCTGCCAAAACTTGTCGT